CGCGCCGCTGGAGGCGGGGAGCCCCGGGTGTAAACCGAGGCTCCTGACTCCCCAGCCCGGCCTGCAAGCTGAGCTACAGTAGTAGTTCCTTGAGTGGGTACGTGGATGACACAGCCCCAAATTCCGGCACCTAGAAAGGTGTATGTATAAACCGGGACCCCAACTCTATGAATTCCCTTTTACTTCTGGGATGCCCGCCTGGATCAGTCGGTGGGGCCTGTGACTCTTGATCTCAGGCTTGTGAGCTCGTGTGTGGACTGTGGGGGTGGAGATTACTTAAAAATAACTATCTTTTTTTTTACTTCTGGCTAATTTCTTTTCCTTCCCAGTTGTGTTTAAATTTCGAGTCTGCAAGGGGGTTTTTGCAAAGGGAGGGTGGGGCATGGCACAGATCCGCCCTGAAATAACAATAGCTAACATTTGTGCAAAGATTCCTTCATTAATTTATTCATCAAATCCTTACTGAGGGCCTCCACGTACCAGCTCACTGGGAAAACACTGCTGAACAGGAGAGATCCACAACCCACGTGGAACTTACATTCTGTAGGCAAAAGAGACAAGAATAAAATACATACATTGTATATTAGATGGTGAATACTAGGGAGGAAAGTAAAGCAGGGCAAAGGAATGGGGAGCATTGGGGGATGCAATTGTATTGTATTTATTTATTTTTAAGTTTATTTATTTTGAGAGAGCACAAGCAGGGAGGAAGGGCAGAGAGAGAGAGAGAGAGAGAGAGAAAGAATTGTAAGCAGGTGCCACACTGTCAGCGCAGAGCCTGATGCGGGGCTTGAACTCAGGGACCACGAGATCGGTGACCTGAGCCAAAGTCGGATGCTTAACTGACTGTGCCACCCAGGTTGCCCTGGGGACTACAATTTTAAATAGGCTGACCAGGGAAGGCCCCACTGAGAAGGTGGTATTTGTATAAACATCTACAGGAAGTGAGGGAGGTAGCTAAGGGGGGAGGGCCTTCCCTGCAGAGGGAAAGGCAGGTGCATAAATGTTGAGGAAGGAGAGTGGCCTGCTTATTGGAGAAACAGTGGGATGGAAGAGGTGAAGGAGATAAGGTCTGGGAGGTCAAAGAGTAAAGGGGATGGAGGTGGGGGGCAGGTTTTGTGGGGCCTTACAGCTTATTTGTTTACTTTGAGAGAGACAGAGAGACAGAGCTCGAGTGGAGGAGGGGCACAGAGAGAGAGGGAGACACAGAATCAGAAGCAGGCTCCAGTCTCTGAGCTGTCAGCACAGAGCCTGACGCGGGGCTCAAACCCACAAACTGCAAGATCATGACCTGAGGCGAAGTCGGAATGCTTAACCGACTGAGCCACCCAAGCACCCCCAGCTTATTTTTAAAGGATGTTGGCTTCCACGCTGAGTGAATGGAGCACAGGGATGAGTTAGGATGTTAGTGGAATGACTGCTGTTGTGTTGAGAACAGGAAGCTGCCGCAGTAATCCGGTGACCGGGCCAGAGGTGACAGTGGCTTGCTCCCGAGTGCTGGGGGGGGAGGTGGTGAGAAGTGAGTGGGTCGCAGATGTGGTTTGAAGGTGAGGCTGACAGGATTTGCTGACATATGAGAGGAGACAAGGGGTCTGAGAGACAGAACAGAGTCAAGGATGACCCCGCGGGTTCTGGCCTTGGTAGCTGGAAGGATGCAGCTGCCACTTTCAGGGATAAGGAGAGATGGTGAGAAGAGCGGGTGCAGGGAGAGAAACTCAAGATCAGGCTTGTTCAGTCTGAGGACACACAGACATCTAAGTAGAAGTAGCAAATTGACAGTCGGCCATAAGTCTGGATTTTAAGAAAGTGCTCCAGGCTAAAGATATAAATCATGGAATCACTGGCATATATATAGGTTGTATTTAAAGCCACAGAAGGGGCGCCTGGGTGGTTCGGTCAGTTATAAATCAGACTCTTGATTTTGGCTCAGGTCATGATCTCACGGCTCATGAGACGGAGGCCAATGTCGGGCTCTGCACTGACATGGTAGAGCCTGCCTGGGATTCTCTCTCTCTCTTCCTGTCTCTCTTGCTGCCCTTCCCTGCTTGCGCTCTCCTTCCCCACCCCCGTCTCTCTCTCTCTCTTTCTCTCAAATAAATGAGCTTAAAAAAAAATAAAGCCACAGAATGGGTTGGATCATCAAGGACATGCAGGTGGATAGGAAGGTGGAGAGGACCAAGGACTGAGTTTTTGGGCCCCACCAACATTTTGTGTGTGGGAGAACTGGCAAAGGAAACCAAAGAAGGGCTTAGCGTGCCAAGCGCTGACTCAGCACTTTTACTAGCGTTTACTCATTTAATCCTCACTCTACGAAGTAAGAATTGTCACCCATTTTACAGATGATGAAACTGAAGTGCAGAGACCTTAAATACCTTGCCCAAGGTCACAGATGGGTGGCTGAGCCAAGATTCAAACCCAGGCCCCCTCCCAGGGTCTTCCCCTGACCATCAGGCTGCACCTTCCCTCAGGGACGGCACCAAGTTTTCATACATTTACTTATTCAACAGGAGCTTCTAGTATAGAGCGACCTGAACAGGATCCATCACAAACCCTCTGAATCTCAATTTACGCATGTAATATACCAGCCTGCTTCCTTGATAGAATAGTGTTGAAACTAAAAATGAGAATGGATGTGAAAGTCTGTGTAAGTTGCGGCGCTCAGTATCTGTTACACTGTCACAGGATCTCCAGGTTAGAAGAGGCCCTTTTAAGCCCTTGAATAGAGTATCATCCCCTTCCTGGTGCATCATGTTCCTTAATAACATCTCTGGCATAGAGGGTGCTGCTTCTCTGCTTGGGCCCTTTCCCTCTCTACAGTTCTATTTGTTAGTGACTTCTTTGAGCCAAAAGATACTCCATGTAACTTCTACTGATCCAATCCAGCTTCCCCTCCCTGAGACCGCTGTGTATAATTGTATGATTTCATAGCATGCTCATATGCCCTTGGATTTTTCCAGATATTCCTCTGATTGCCTTTCCCTACTTGAACCCAGATTCTTCTTTCCCAAATGAATCAGTCACCTTCAAGGAGAATACAAATTATTCTAAATGAAACAGAATGACTGTAATAAGAAAGCTGGTTACACAGGGGATGGAAGAGGCTGGGAAGAAACCCTGAGGTGATCTGAAGATTAGAAACAGCAGGAGATTAACAACAATTTACCCTTAGAAGGGAAGAGGTGGTGGTATTAGAGTCTGGGGGCCTGGGTCACCTGGCTGAAGCTAGAAACACAAGAAGCCTTTGCATCAGGGGCTGGAACCATGGAAGGGAAGCTGCCAGGAGCAGCGAACAAGGGAAAGAAAAACTCTGGCTTCTCCCTTGCCCTGACCCTCTCCAATCTCCCAGAGGTACCTCCTCTTGACTAAATCCACTGGAAACCCAGCCAAGAGGCAGTCTCTGCCTTATGTGAAATTTTTTTCACCTGCTGCTTACAGGCAAATGATTAAAGCCACCTTGGCTGGCAGCTACGTCACTGTGATCTCTGTTTCTGCCACAACAGGGCATCCTCCCTGTGTGTCTATCTTCACACCGTCTTCCATTTTTTTGCAAGGACACAAGTCATAATAGATGAGGCATCACGTTACTTCGTATGACCTCATCTTAACTAATACATCTGCAACAACCTATTTCCAGATGAGGTCCCATTCTGAGGTACCAGGGGTTAGGACTTCGACGTATCTTTTTGAAGGACACAGTTCAACTCAAACAGAAATCCTTAGGATATAGATGGTAATTCAGAGCATGAGACTGGAGAGGAGCCCACTTCTCTAGCCCCCTGGGGAGTGAGTTGAAGGGAGATCAGAGACCTAGCTTGGGAATGCCATCCTGGAGAGTTGAGGGGATGAGGAGAAATAAGCAAAGGAAGCTGAGAAGGAGCAGCGAGTGAAGTGGGAGGCAGAGTGGGAACAGGTGGGGTGCTGGAAGCCAGGGGAGGAAAGTAGATAGGGAGGAGAGGGTCAGCTAAGGCTGAGGATGAAGCTGACAAAACAAATGAATAAACAAACAAATGGCAGAACCAGACCTGTATATACAGAGAACAAACTGATGGTTGCTAGAGGAGATGGACAAAATGGGGAGAGGTGAATGGGAGATACAGTTCCAGAATGAATAAGTCACAGGAATAAGGTACAGCAAAGGGAATATAGTCAATGACACTGTAATAGCCTTGTATGGTGACAGAAGGTAGCTACATTTGTGGTGAGCATGGCATGACCTATAAACTTCTTGAATCACTATGGTGAACAGCTAAAAAATAATGTAACACTGTGTTACAACTATACAAAAACAAACAAACAAAACCTCACCAGAAAAAAAAAAATAAGAGGAAAAAAGAGGAGGATGAAGAAATGGTCATCTTATTTGACACCTCTGAGGTCAATTGTGACCTTGACAAGCATATTTCAGTGGAGTGGAGACGATGAAAGTCTGATCCGTGTGTGCTCATGAGAGAATGGGAGGAGAGGACTTGGGGACTACTAGTCTGGAAAATTCTATCTATGTGTTCATGGCTTCTCCATTCTAGCAGAAGGAGCCAGAAGGGCAAGGATCTTGGAGTACCCCATTTATTTCTGTATTCCAGTGCCCAGCACTGTATTTGTTAAACCGTGTTAAATATTATATTAGCATCTCCTTCAAATGTGGGAATCTGTAATTTCCCAGTTTGGTCATAGCAACAGAGTAGAGAGGAATGATAGGGCTGGACTAGATTTTTCTGGTTCCTTCCAGCTCTAAAATTCTATGATGGTATGACTTGTTCTATCAGCCACCCTTGCATTAATACAGTTAGGAATTTAACAAGTTGTTTGTAGTTATTTGCATTTGCAAGCAACTGTTAAATGAAATAGCTGGAATAAGTGTTCCATTCATAAATTGAACATTGTTGAGTACCTACCATGTGTAAGGTACTACATATATCGTCCCATTTGAAGATGCAAGACCAGGGAACCCAGGATAGGGGAGGGTGGTCAGAAGAAGTGAGAGGGCCTCCTCCCACTACTAACACTCTGGAGGTCCAGGGTACTTTGATGTGGTTGGTGCTACTGTGGTTGACACTGAAGAGGGAAGAGGCGTTGAGTGGCCTGCGTGCAGGCGGTTGCAGATCTGCAGCTGCCCGGGACACAGAGCAGCATTCACGGCGGCATAAGCAACCTCTATTTGCCTCACCACCAATCAGCCCAGGGCGGCCACACAGAATAGCAGTTCAGGCAGTAGGAGGAGGGGAAGATGTGGTCCTCAGATCCACCCTGCTACAGGGCAAACGCCGTATTCTCCACCACACTCAGGACAAGGAGGCTTCTGCTGTGGTGAACAGCACCTTTGGGTTTTGCTACATGATCTATTTAGGCTCTCATCAAGGCACTGTTAGCAGGGCAGGGTTTAGGCGTTGCATTCTAAGGCAAAGAGAAGAGGTTTGTATTACAAGACCTGTCGGAGAGGGGCAGAGCCAGGACAAGAACCGAGAGGTCTCGACTCCCAAGTGTCTACCCTAGGAATAATGGAAAGCACTTGGATTCTGTAGTCTGATCCTGGATCAAATAATCTTCACTTCATTACTCCCGTCCCCAAATCCTGTCCGAAACAAGGTACCTGTTTCTTCATCCCTAAAACAGGAAGAAAAATGTCCTGCTTACAGGGTTCCTTGCAGGATCATGGCATTATATGAGTGAAAGCGCTTTGTAACATACAAAGTGCTCTGCAGACATTTATTAATGGTTATAAACCACCAGACTGCCTCTTGGAGTTATAGATTAGGCTCCCTCACTCGTTGGACTTAATAACCCCTCATTCCATTTTCTACTCCTTTTCTCTGTCCCTCCTCCTCCCACAAACAGAGGAAGTGAGACAGGAAGCGAGCACGTGCGTCTAACGCCTGGTCTGGGTAACTAACGCGCAGGCTTCTCAGCTCCAAGGTTGCTGAGAGGGGGCCTCCCCCCGGCCCCCGCCCAGAACTACATTTCCCAGCAACCTTTCGGGGTCTCCAGAGGCGGGCGGGGTGGGGTGGGGGAGGCGCATGCGCCAAGTTCCGCCCCGCCTGGTCTCGGGGCCGCACCTCCGAACCGGTTTCGCCTGGCAGAGCCGGCTGCTTCAGGCGCCGTGGACGCGGTGCTCGCCCCGCGGCTTCTCCCGCGCTGTGGCGGTGTCAGGTGTGGCTTAGCTCGGGTCAGTGCCATGATCCGGCAGGAGCTCTCCACATCCTACCAGGAGGTACAAAGCAGTGGGGGCGGAAGTAAAGTTTCCCGCGGGGCGCAGGAGCGGGGTCCCGCGGTCTGGGCGGCGGAGGGGGGGCGTCCGGGCAGGTCGAGTGAGCTTTCCGAGGAGTGCGGCGGGGGAGGGGTCCCCGCGTGCGGAGGAGCCTCGGAGCAGGAAGGAAGCGGGGCGCAGAGCCTCCTCCGGATGCTGCCGGCGCGGGATGGAGCCGGGGCCCCCGAGCCGTGAGCCGTAACCAGCAGGTGAATGATTGAAACGGCGTCCGACCCAGGCAGCAGCGCGCCGGCCGCACTTGACCTCGGCTGTTCTTTGCTAGTGGAGGCACGGCGCCCTCCTCCCGGCTGGAACAGATGCGCTGGGAGCATTAGCCCCTCTGCAAGCCCAGGGCTTCGTGGTACATGACAGGGATAATTACAGCTTGTTCGGCGGCCGCCTAACTTTGAAAAGGTGCTTTCGCCTATCTAGCTGTTGCTCGCCGCGCTCCGTTTTCCTTTCGCTCTCACCTCCTCCCACTACTTTAACTATCACTTTTCCAGCTCTTTGTCTCTTTCTTGTTTGTCCGAGCTGCAGGCGGTTTCAGCTTTTCCTCAGGCTTTCTGAGTCCTCCTGACTTACTGGAACTAGTAAACTGCTCTCCTCCTCCTCCTCCTCTTAGGTCTTACACTCTGGTCATCTCTGGTGATCATCCCCCCTTCCCCCACCCCGCGCGGTCGTCCCCTCATTTGTAAGTTCAGTTACACATCTTCAGTCCTCAGGTTTGTGTTCTGTGTCTGCTCTGACCACCTGAGTGAGATGCTGTGTTACCATCTCTCCCTTTGGTGTCCCCTAGGCTGTGCAGATTTGCTTTGAGGCCCTGCCTTGATCCCAGAACATTCCCTTTTACAAACACCTGGTGCTGCCCTTGATCTACCCTGAACAGTCCAAATTTCTTAGCAAGCTTCGGAAGCGCTGCACAGCTCAGCATCCCTGACTTCTCATCTCACCTATCTGTGTTCTGATCACACTGGAAATTCACTCTTTAAAAATGTGCCCCCACTTTCCTGTCCCTATGCGCATTCTCACGCCATTTCTTTTTCTTTAACTTCTCAGTCTCCATTGGTCAAAATCCCCTCCCTTATTCAAGGAGGGATCTTAAGTCCCTCATGTTCCATGGAGACTGACTTCCCAGATCAGTCTAGCATTCTGCCTGTCCTTCTCATATGTACTTCCTGCTGTTTTGATCAATACTGACCAATATTGATGTACATTCCTCTCTTTGTAAATGATACTGTGTGGATTATATAAATAATATAAAAGCAGATGGCTTAGCCCTACGGTGGAAGGGGAACCTCCATCTGAGTTGGAGGCAGATGAGATTTGCCTAAGGCTTGCTATTTTTTTAGTGTAGGACCTGGTCTGGAATCTGACTTTGGGACAAATTTCTATCTTTCTCCCCGCAATCTCCTTTATCCAAAGGAGCCAGATGGATTTTAACCTGTGTTGGGATTCTGTGGCCCCTAGATTCCATGCCCTAGCCTGTAAAGGAATCCGGAGGAATGAGCTGTGTCTTTCCTCTGAAAGTTTTCAGATTCACAGGGAGTAGAGCATAGTGTGTAAATACTGTTTTGAAGTTGGGGAGCCCATGTTCCTCTCCTGCTCTGCTTCTGGCCATTTGTCAAGTCACTTTCTGAGCCTCAGGTTTCTTCCTCTGCAAAGGAAGGTGATGATAGTTCTATTTCACAGGGTTGTGAGGGTTCAATGAGTTGGTATATGGAAGGTGCTTAGGTCAGTGCTTGGCAGGGAGGGACCTCTCAGTGGATGATAGTTCTTGTTCACAGGACGTGGGTGGCTCCTGCTTCTAGGGAGCTTTGGGGTCCTGATTTGTAGGACCATGTCCCTCACCATCCATATGCAACCTGCAGTATCGCCTTTCCTAGTAGGGCTCCTGAAACGTTTATTAAAATGCAGACAGTTACTTGGCAAGGCCAAAGGTAAAGTCACTTTCTATTTGAGGGCACCCCCAAGATGGAAGACACTGGAAGGGCCCTTCCCTTTACCTTCTTCAGTGGCTCGTTTTGAAGTCCCTGTCTCTTGCCTTCTTTGGAAGGAGGCCTCCCGGAGGGTGGCCCAGCTCTCTTGCCTGGGTCGTTCTGGGAGTGGACCTTTGAGTTAGGAGTCTAACTGGCTCTGAGTTGGGTTTCTTTGCTGAAGGGAGATTTTGGCTTTGGGGATGGGGCTGCAGGTAGTCCAGAAGGGAGCTGGGTTGGGAGCGTGTTGCTATCTGGGTTAGGCTGAACCTGGGTGAAGCTTGGATCAAAGAACTTTGGGCCTTCTCAGACTAACATCCTTCTTTCTCTTTGGCCAGCGAGGGCTCTGGTGATCTCTTGATATGTGTCCCCACTACCTGTATCTCATGGTTTCTTCTCCAGCCTCCCAGCCCTCTCCTACTTGTTGGTTTTCTTTTCTTGTGGGCTTGGAGGACTTTACACTGGAGATTTTACCTGATTCTAATGGGCAGGAGTGGAGGCATGAAAAAGGAGATGAAGGTCCATGGCTGGCTTAGTTGGTAGATCATGCGATTTTCAATATCAGGCTTGTGAGTTCATGCTCCTCCTTGGGGATAGAGATCACTTAATAAAATTAGGGGCACCTGGGTGGCTCGGTTGGTTAGGTGTCCAACTTTGGCTTGGGTCATGATCTCACGGTTCACGGGTTTGAGCCCCGTGTTGGGCTGTGCACTGACAGTGTGGAGTCTGTTTGTGATTCTCTCTCTCCCTCTCTATCTCTGCCCCTCACCCCCCATCAGAAAAAATTTTTTAAAAGAGGGGAGGAGATGGAAGAACAATAGATACATAAGAGTTTTAACCCAAGTTTCTTGGATATTAATTTTTAATTAAAACGTTTGAGACCTTAAGTGTTGACACTGTGAGCCTAAGAAAATATTTAGGAAAGCAATCCCTTTCCCTTCCCTCCCAATTCAGTGTTAGGTCCTTTAAACTCTGGTCTTCATCTCTCTTCCCCTCCTCCTCAGTCCTATGAAGAATTGTTTGTTATTGTATCCTCTGCCTGCCCTTCTCGGTGGCTCATTTCCCCCATTTGACAGGTGAGAGCACTGATGAGGTGAGGTTGAAGCTGCCTGTTGTCAGGCTGCTGATCAATATCTGTTTCTGGGATGGACCACCTTCCCCATTTTTTTTCCTGCCATTCGCAGCCTGAGTCGGTGGACTTGAGCCAGTGTCCTGGAGAGCTCTGACACCAACTTCACTGTTTCCTTCTGTCAGCATACTCTTAGCTGCGTTTCCTCCTCCTCTGGGAAGCCGTTAAGATCATCGGTTTTGGAACTAGACCAACTTGGATTTGACTTCTGGCTCTATGGCCAAGGAAAGTGTTGTGGTTGAATTGTGTCCCTCCAAAAAGATGTGTGGGGAGTGCTAACCCCTAGTACCTCAGAGTGTCCTTATTTGGAAATAGGGTCATTGCAGATGTAATTAGTGAAGATGAGGTCATACTGGAGTAGGGTGGGCCCTAATCCAATATGGTGTCCTTATAAGTAGCTGACCTTGTGGAGACAGCACAGAGATGCACTTCCCAGACTCTATATGAAGATGGAGGCAGAGCTTGGAGATGAGAGGCCTCGATAGGCCAAGGAACACCAAGGCTTGGCCATTACCAGAACTAGGGGAAGACCATGGAAAAGATTCTTCCTCACAGCCTCAGAAGGAACCGACCTTGCCAACACCTTGATTTCAGATTTCTAGCTTCCAGAACTGTGCGGGGATAAACTTCTGTTAATTCGTAAGCCACCCAGTTTGTGGTGCTTTGATACGGCAGCCCTAGGAAACGAACATGCGGGAAGTTAACTGAGTTTTCCGAGCTTCAGTGTCCTAATCTGTAGAATTGGTATAACACCCCCTCCGTCATGTGATTGTGTGTGTGTGAGAGAGACAGTTAAGTGAGAGGAAGCTTCTGCTTTCTCATTCTAGTCCTCCTCAGCAAGGCTGATGTGGCTGACTGGTTTGCTCTCTTTGTCTCCCTCCTTTAGCTGAGTGAGGAGTTGGATCAGGTGGTTGAGAACTCAGAGCGGGCGGACGAGCAAGAAAAGGAGGCAGACGGAGTACAAGGTCCAGGAATCTTACCAGGTGAGTGGGTTCAGTGCTGGGGGCAGAAGGGCTGGAAAACGGTGCTCTGCTATAGCTGGAGGCCCCAGTCCAGGCGCCTGGCCACCTGGGGACCTACCTGCAGGAGAGGAGGAGCCCCTCTGCCCTGCACCCCAGTGTCAGGTCTCAGGTATTGCCCTAGTTCTAAAGCTATACATATTTAACCAGCCTTGGGACAGAGGAGGTGTCCAGGCCAGTATCCGCTCTTTTCTGTACTCTGGTTTGAGCCAGTTCCTGATGCCAGGACATTGGAGGTAATGGGTCTCTGCTCTTCTGTTTGTTTTTTCCTAGGAAGCCGTTAGTAGTTGAGCTTCTAATATCTGGGTCACTTCCCAGGGCCCTCAAGGAGAATATCTAATAGGCCTCACCTCCTGGACATCAGGCCTTGCCAGTATGGTCACCCAGCTGGGCAGGCAGGGTCCCATCAGTCAGGTGGCATCTTAAGGAGTCTTATGTTAGTTGACGTTGACCTCTTCTTCCTCCTGGGTACTCTCTGCACCCTTAGATGACGTAACTCCTTACTTCTCGGAGTGCTCCTTCCAACCGCCTTTATAGTCACCGTCCAGCTCTTGGGTGTTAAGTGTTTGTCAGAGGCCCCTTTTCTCTCTCTCTCTCTCTCTCTCTCTCTCTAGTGGGCGGTCTCACCCAGGCCCCGTCCCTGCTTCAGTTACTTCTTGTTCACACGTGACTGCCATGTTTACGCCTCTAGTGCAGAGGTTACCTATAAACTCCAGACTTACATATCCTGTATACCCAGATGCCCAGGTCATGGCTCTGCTTGGATGCCCCAAAGGTACCCTAAACCCCACATGTCCAAAATTGACCTCGTGACCTCCCCATTCCTGGTGTGGCCCTCTTCCAGTGCTTCCTGTTTTGGCGAATAGAATGTATTACCCATGCAGTTGAATTGGAGAGTCATCCCCACCCCCTGCCCCTGCTTTCCTTGTTTCCCCATTTTCTCTGCTCCTCAGCCATGCTGGCCTTCTTTTATTTGGGCCTCCCTCCCTTCCACCATCAGGCCTTTCTGTTGTTCTATCTCTGTTTGGAATTCTCTTCCCTCTGTCATCAAGTTAATGTTTAATCGTTCTTCCGATTAATGTTTAATGTCAATGCTTAATCGTTCTTCAGCTCACTTGTTTTCTACAAAGCCTCTGACCTCCTGGCTAGATCACTTCCACCCTCCAACCTGTCACTTGCAGTCCACGCATCTCTCCCTCGTAGCTCTCCCTGATGGGGCAGTGTATTTGCTTGGCATTTGATGAACATCTCTTCTGCTAGCATGTAAGCTCCATGAAGGTGGAGACCAGTCCGTTCTGCTCACTGCCTCAGACCTGTCCATGTGATACAGATTTGCTGAATGAGTGAATGGAACCCCAACCTGACTCTGCCCGCTTGGGTGGGTTGAGGGAGGTGGGATTGTGCTCCTCTTGATCCCTTTAAGGGGAGAGGAATGACATAGGATATTCTGTGATTGTGCCTAATTATTTAAAAAAAAAAGTTTTTTTTAAATATTATTTTCAAGAAACAGAGTGAGACAGAGAATGAGCCGGGGAGGGGCAGAGAGACAGGGAGACACAGAATCCGAAGCAGGCTCCAGGCCCCAGGCTCCAGGCTCCAGGCTCCAGGCTCCAGGCTGTCAGAGCCCACTGTGGGGCTCGAACTCAAGAGTTGTGAGATCATGACCTCAGCTGAAGTCTGATGCTCAACCAACTGAGCCACCCAGGCGCCCCATAGGGAAGACTTTGTAGAAGGACGGAGGCTGGAAGAGTAGCTGTTTACTGACTGCTTCCTCTGGGCCGAGCTCTGTCATTCCCGTTGCCCCATTTAATTTTCATGACAACCCTGTGAGGTAGGCATCCTGATTTTGATGGATGAGGACCTGAGCCCCAGGGGGTTAAGGAGAATATGGAAGGATCACTTGGCTGGTGAACAGGATCAAGCTCTGTCTGACTCCAGGCTTTCTACTGCACCAGTGGTTTTTAAAAAGTATTTTAAGCATCCTTTTAGTAAAGCTTATTGTGTAAGAGGTGGTAGCATGGCTGCCCCCACGCTGATTCTGGGCACTACGTCTGAAGTCCTGAAGCCCCAGGGAGAGAACAGTATATTTATATTTATTTGCATTAGCTCTGTATATGGGTTCCTATTGTTTCTGTAACAAATGACCACAAACTTAGTGGCTTAAAACAACAGATTTATTATCTTACAGTTCTGGAGGGCAAAAGTCCAAAATGGGTCTCGTTGTGCTGAAATTAAGGTTTCAGCAGGACTGAATTCCTTTCTGGAAGCTCTAGGGGAAAATCCATCTCAGTGCCTTTTGCAGCTTCTAGGGGGTGCTCACATTTCTTGGCTCGTGGCCCTTTTTCCATCTTTGAAGCCACCGGTGGCCTGTTGAGTCTTTCTCCTATCTTCTCATTGTCACATAGACTTCTGCCCCCTCTTCCATGTTTACATGTAATCGCAGGGCTCACCTAGATAACCCAGGAAAATCCCCTTGTTTTACAGTCAGGTGAACGGCAGCTTTAATCCCATCTGCTGCCTTAATTTCTCTTTGCTATTAACTTGACATTCATAGGTTCCGAGAATTAGGACTTGGACATGTTTGGCGGGCTGCTCTTCTCCCTGCTGCACCCTGTACTGCCCTCTTGCCCCCCGTCTGAAGAGGATAGATGGAGACGGCCGGAAGGAGAGGAGGGATGCCAGACTTGGAAAGATGAAGCTTTCTTTTGTGTTTCCATTCATAGATTAAGTGCCAGCCAAACTAGGAAGTGGCCATGATGACCTTTGGCCTTAGCCTCTCTTTTGCCTCAGATTCCTGGGGCCTTACAGCCTAAGGTCAGTCAGAGCAGGAAACCAGGCCTCAAGCAGAGCAAATTGGGATAGTTCCACAGACTGGCAAGAGCCTTCGTGCTTTCAGGGGAAACCCTTCTGGGCTCATCTCTGCTGTAGACCATAGAAGATGCAGACTCAGAAGTCTTAGTAGGGAGTTGGCCCATATTTGGTGACCTGACACACAATTGGCAAAGCTCACTTCCTGCCTTTCAGTCCTGTAATAGTAACATAAATAACGGTAACGATGGCAGCAGCCGTTTATTGGGTGCTTCCATGCACCAGGTCTGCGTAGGGCTTTCTGTGTATGCTCACACGTAGCCTTCATGGCCACTTGTGAGGGAGATGGTTAGTCCTGGTTCCTAGATGAGGAACAGAGAGGTCCAAGTAATGTGCTCAGAGCTTATGAGTGGCAGGGCTGGGATTTGAACCCAGGGCTGTCTCCCAGCGTGTTCCCACTCTGGCTCAGTTTCTAGATGAGGTGCTTTTCTGCTCCAGAATCCTCCCCTTCCTCTACCAGAGTCACTCATGGGCTCCTTCACCTGTTACGCAATGTGCTAAAACTAAAAAAAGGGCAAATGAGGCAGGGCCTGTGTCCAGGAACTTGGGACATGTAGAGAGAGAAGGCAGGATACCCAAAGAAGAACTTCTCTCTCCTTCTCCAGAGCCTTCCCTGAACAACTTACTGAGGGCCTTTTCTCCCTGTTATGTGCTTTCCTAGCCCTCAGTATTTTCCTTTATAGAATGTAGCACAGTCTAAAGGGCACATTTGTTGAATATAATTCTTTAATCATTACTAACCCCTTAGGCCTGCCCCTGAGTCCTGTGAGGCACTCCCAGAACTTTTGTCTCCCCTCCCACTTCATTGTAACTGATGCCTAGCAGAGCGTCTGGCCCACTGTGGGTGCTCAGTATTTATACGTTTGGAGGGGGGACATGGGGATATCTCATGTGAGCAACTGGGATCAATGATAGAGGGCCAAGGAAATGGTAGAGACAGGTGCTTCAGAAATGAACGAAGGGGGGGCCGGTTAGTGAAGGGAGTGGGATTAACCTGAAGGAAGGGTGACTGGTAGGTGAAAGAGACGGGGCAGGCCAGGGAGGAGGGACGGGATGTGCAACCGTGTAGAGGTGGGGATAACACAGGACGTGTCGGAAACAGTCGGTTAGCATGGTACAGTTGGAGCGGAGGGTTGGTGAGAGAAGTAGGAGATGAGGTGGGAAGGACAGATTGGGTCAGATTATGGAGGGCTTTGAGTGTCAGGGTTTAGCCGTTAGGGAACAGGGAGCATTTAATGGGATTGGAGCAGAGCAGTAAGGGGGTGAAACGGGCATGCAGGGAGGAGCAGTGTGGCAATGCCGTAGGGCTGGATTAGTGGAGGGAGGACCGTGCTGGGTCAGAGGCTGGCAGGGTGGGCCGCTTCGACGTGGGGGAGCGGGAGAAGGAAGAGTCAAAGGAGACTCTGAGGTCTGAAGAGGGTGAGTGGGAGAATGTAGACGTACAGTCTGGGGTGAGCGGCCGGAAGAGAAGGTGCTTCTCTGCCGCAGACATACGAAGCTTCGAAGGTGTGATGTCTGGGCGGAGAGGCCCAGAGGCGGAGCGAGATGACGACTGATGTAGCTAAAGTGCGAGCTTTGAGAAGGCCTGGGCCGCCTGTAGAGTGAGCTGTGGAGACAGCCTCGAGGGGTGGCCGCATTCGGGGACCAGAAGAGGAGGTGGAGCTGGAGCCCCATGGAGGCCTGGAGGTGGGGGCTGTTGGGCAGCAGAGGTTCCAGTTAAGCACCCAGACATTCAGGATTATATTCCCAGTTGTACTCTCTGAGATAAAGAGTTACAGTCCATAATCCGAAAGCCTCGATCTGTTTCCTTTCTATGAAGGGAATTACAACCACTTATTCTTTTCTAAGGGAGAAATGAGACCAGACACGCTAACTGAATAAGCAGCTTACTATATCACTGTTGTAACAAAATTGAGGAAGACACTTGGCTGATTAGTCATTACAGTGCATTCTCCATGGAAACAACTGTGTATTAATAGAATTGAAAAAGATCAGCAACCAAAGAAAAAAATCAATTGGATCTCATCAAAATGAAAAACTTGGGTGCATTAAAGGATACTACCAAGAAAGTGAACAGACAGCCCACAGGATGAGAG